CAAATAAGTCATCTTCTCTTTTTAATATCAAGATAAGCACGCCTATGTGAACTGAAACACAGAACTGGAAGAGGAGGGGAACAAAATATTTAAATAGAATCGGCTTTCATTATAAAATCACCAAAACGGGAGTAATTTATGACACAAGACACAACCTGGTGAAAAATTCATCTGGTGAATCCTTTTTAAAGCATACCATAGAGTGCAATTTGGCTTTTCTTGAAGTTGAATGAAACGGTAACCTGAATACGGATTAACGAATGCCAAAATTACCACAAGGTCTTCAGAGTATATTTTACTTTAAATATCAAAACAAGTAAGGCTATCATTTAAGGAACCAGTCCTTTCAATACGTGTCCCAAGGCTGATGTTTAAGCAAGTCTCCCTGGCAACCAAGGAGCACAGTACATACTGGGCTGAGGGGAAGGGGAGCAGAGGGGAGCAACTCCAGGGGCGGGCAGCCGAAGTAACCTGAATAGTAATTGCTCCCGCTAGAAGACGCGGGTAGAGGCTGCACCGGCAGCACGCCCCTAAAATTTCAACTCCGGGTGTCGCCCCCACCGGCGTGCCAGCAGCCTCCACCCCCCTCTACCCCGCTACCCCACCTCGCTCCCTCGGGTCTGTAGGTACGAACCCCGAACAGGTTACAAGGACAGAGAGACGGGCTTACCCGAAGGAGTGAACGGTCTGCTGGGTTCGGGATCCGAGGTGGCAGCGCAGACACCGGGCTCTCCCTGACGCACAATGGCTCTGCTTTGCCGCGCGATGCTGAGGTTCAGAGAAACTGCAGTAGCTTCGCTCTGCCGGTTTGGGGATGCAGTAGTGAAGAACGAGCGTCTAGCCTGTGTGGATGTGTGTGCGTGCGTGTGTGAGTGTGCGCGCGCGTGCCTGCGCGCCCCCCGATTCTCCCGGGGGGAGAACAGCGCTCTCCAGCAAATAAAAGCACCAGCCAACACTGCAGGTGGCTCGTCCGGCTAGCTCTGGCCCAGGCGGCCGCGTCAGCCTGGAGACTCACGTTGGCAGCCCCGGGGGCGGACTCACACGCTGGCGCGCGCACGCGCCCCTTCTGCACCCCCGCCCCCGCCGCCGCTGCCGGCGAGTCGGCGCGCGCTCCCGCTCTCCCTGGCAGTCCCCCTCCTCCGCGCAGCCCCCCTCGTCGGTAACTGGCACCTGCGCTGCGGGCCGTAGGGTCACATGCACAGTCTGAAGCCACAGCTGCGCCCCGCTGTGAGAAAGAGACCTTGGAACCCAGCCTGCTAGTCTCCAGACGCCTTTCCAGGCTGGCAAGGAACCGATGCCGTGACCCCAGCTTGCTGTGCGGTGTGCAGGGGAGCCCTGGCTCTCTGCTTCCCCTTCTCTGACCCCAATAACTTGTGAAGTTCCTTTGCGTCTATTTCTTGACCGTGCTGTGACCCTCCTTAGGATAAAATAGCTTATGGTACTGTTGAGAACTGACTTCTTTAGAAAGTCTGTAGAAAAGAAGCAGGACCAACCTTCCAGAGGTGGACAGAAGCCCTGAACCTAATTCGTTCCAACCAATGCAAGCAGTAACCCCAGAACGACACCCTTGAACTGAAAGGTCTGGCACACCTCTTGCCATTTGCGGTCATTACCATGAAAAACATCCTGAGAAACTTAACTCAAGAAGTGGATAATTTTAAGTAAATATCCACCTTTGCACTGAAAAACCTCAGTCCAGTGTCGAGTTAAGCCGCCAGGAGCTTAGTAAGTAACATTATACCAGAGAATATTGTGTTTTGTAAACGTGTCTGGTATAAACTACTGCAGTACGCAACGTTACAGAACGTTAAGACCCGTCTACAGGTTTATGTTCTTCCACACACTTAAACACAGTGTTCTGACCTAGTTTGAGGTGTCCTTAACATTCTTATTAGTCTCAAATCAATGGTTCAGCAATTGTTTTCCATTTTTAGACCCAAAAGATTTTTATAGGTCTGTTTGTTTGCTTCCCCTGGGGCCTGTCTGGCTTCCAGCCCTTGATTCCCTTGGTTTTGCTATTTGGGCTTTAGGATGCTGGGCTCCTAGTCATCTATTACAGCAGTCCAAGACACAGATGAAGAATGACCAACAGTGAATGCAGACGTTAGGCATAATGCCATTCTGAATAAATTGTCATAAGCAGCTTGACATTTTCAATTGGATATTACTTTAAACCAGAAGATAAAATGTGAAAGCACATTTGAACCCAAAATATTGGCAATGAGTGATGTCCATAGATAAAACACTCCTTTAACAGTGATGAAACACATAAGCTGTTCGTCACCAAAGTGACTATATTTTAAATCTATATTGATTGGGTTATCTCTTTTGAAACGACTAGAAGGTATTTATTCAATATGATTAGAGCAAAGAATATACAATCAGCCCTTCACATCCATGACTTTGCTTCCACAGATTCAGCTAACCACTGATAGAAATTATTCCAAAAAGGACCAGCATGTGGCGTAATAGTTATGTCACTGGCCTCCCATGTAGTGGAACACAGTTTGAATCCCAGACTTAGTGGTTTCGAATTCACCCAGGGCACATATGTGTGCATGCCCAAAATCCCAAGAGGAGAATGGAGGAGAAGGGGTCGCAGTGTAGCCATCTTCCCGGGAGGTGATTTCTTTTTTAAAAAAAATAATTATTTATTTAATGTTATTTATTCATTCATTTATTTTAATTTGATCAGAGAGAGACAGAGAGAGAGAGAAAGAGTGAGAAAGCAAGCCACTAGGTCTGGGACTTGAACTGCGGTTGGACATGTGGGAGTCCAGTACCATTAATCCCATGCCACCTACCAGTCCCAGACCTTCAACATTTTTTAACTATGGACTAACCAAAATAACACACAGGTAGTCTCACCCCAACTCAAAAAAAAAAAAAAAAAAAAAAAAAAAAAAAATTCTAACCCCCCCCATAATAGCAATTGACTATCTTAAAAAATAATTAGAATAATAATAATACTGATTGGGGAAAACATAGAAAAGATATTGAATGTTGAAGTGGGGAGATTAGTGTCTCTGTATTGACTGACATGCATGGCATTCCCTTTTGAAAAAGCAATGTAATACACTGTAAAGTTATATGTAATCCAATGTAATATAAAGAAGATTATGATGATAATAAAAACAAAAACAGTAATGTGTCAACGTTGGTTCAGTATTTGTGACAAATGTACATGTCACAATAGGGGCCTGCAGGTGAGGGTATATGAGAGCCCTATGGTCTTTGTAACCTTTCTGTAAATCTAAAACTATTATAAAATAAAAAATTTCTTCAAAAAACCCCCCCATAAAAACCATGTCTCTTTCCACTCTGATCTGCCCCATCTATTAAAAAGAAAGAAAAGAAAATATTCCACAAAATTTCAAAAAGCAAAACATGGATTTGCCATGTGCCAAGTATGACTGAATACATGCAAATGAAGTGATGTGTAGGCATTGCATTAGGTATTATAAGTAATCTAGAAAAGGTTTAAAGTATATGGGAGGTGTGCATAGGTTATCTGCAAATATGCCATTTTATAAAAGACTTGAGTATCTTTGGATTTTGGTATTCAAGGAGTCCTAGAACCAATTCCCTGTGGATATAGAGGGTTGGCTATAACTACATTCACACAGGGAAAAAAAAAAAAAAACAAACAACCTGTGCCACAAACACCGTCTTTGTGATGATGGAAGAGTCTCTCACTGTCCAAGCTGAGTGTCTTGCCCAGGTATATCTAATTCATCACTGAAACTCTTGGTCCAGCACATCTGTCACGTAACGAGGGGCTTAGTAAATATTGCTCACTGACACATAGATGTGAAGGAATAAATAAAAAAAAGTATGCTAAGTGCCTAGTAAAATGTCTGGTTAGAGAGGGCAATTTTTTTTCTGAATGACTCCTTAGTATTCACTTAAAGTATAAGTGTTTTTTTAAAAGCCTCTTATTGGGACCAGAAGATAGTGTAATGGTTACGTCACTAGACGCCCACATAGCTAACCACAGTTAGAGATCTGGACCCAGTGGCTTAAAAATCACACCGGCATGTGTGTGTGCATGCCCAAGATCCCAAGAGGAGAATGGAGGAGAAGCAACTGTGGCATGGCCATCCCTCTTGGGGGTGACTTCTCGTTTTCTCTCTCTCTCTCTCTCTGTGTTTTTGGTGAGTGCACGCACCCTATAGCAACAAAAATCTTTCTAAAAAAAATAATAAAACCCTTTTATTTCTCTAAAATAAGAGACTCGATAGTCCGTTGGGTAACCACCAAAATGCAACACAAACATATTTCCCACTGTACTCTGTTACCACAGGAACAAATAGATACTAGGCACTGTTTCTCTCTCACTACCATTATACATAGCCTTTCTCCTTATGGAGGAAAAAAAAATCAGAAAACAATGCTTTCTAAAAGTTGTTCTTTGGACTGCTGGCCCTTTGTTCAGTGATTTTTTTTTTTTTTAAGGTTTTAGAATGTGCTAGGCAGTGGGGACTCCAGTTGGTGTAATGGCTATGTCGCTGAACTCCCACATAGTTGACTGCGGTTCGAGTGTCGGACTCGGTGGGTTCAACTCCCGCCAGGCACATGTGCATGCGTGCCCAAGATCCCGAGAGGAGAATAGAGGAGAAGGAATTGTGGCATGGCTATCCCCCCCTGGGAGGTGATTTCTCGCTTTCTGTCTTTCTGTCTTTCTGGCAAGCATACTCACCCTATAGCAAAAAACCTCTCAAAAAAAAAAAAATAAAAAAAAATGTACTAGGCTGTGTAAGCAGTGTAGCGAAATTAATTGTCAAAAAATAGGCATTGTCCTTGTTGAAGCTAGTGTTGCTATGAAAAATGAACTGAGGAAGGGGGGCAAAAGTGTGTCTTTTGATTGAAAACAACAGAAAACCACTCTGCCCAAATTACACAAAAAGGCATTTACTAGAAAAATTGAAGAGCGTGGAGAACTGATGAGACACCTACCTAGATTTCCATGCTGGCAGGAGTTAGAGCAAATCCGGAGGGCACAGGAGGCAGTGACAACAGGTTAACGTCAGGGCAGGAATGTTATGATCAGGTGTCTCCCGTGGCTAGAATGGATAAACCCCAACCTACTGCTCATTATCCTCTCAGTTCAGATTCCAGCTTCCAGTGGTCTGAACTTGGAATATTGACCTGTTCTTCAGTAAGGGGGTATGGTTGGACCTGATCACAGCCCCACTAGATTTAAAGGGAAATAAAAGGACACTCGGTAACTATAAAATAGCATACATTTGCTACCAAAATAGAGCACTGGGTCAAATGAGCTGAGCAAATGCTGAAAATTGGATCCCTATCACACTGATGTGTTAAAGACCCTGATGTATTACAAAAAACTCTTAAAGAAATCTTTTCAGGGGTCAGCAGGTGGCATAGTGATTAAGGCACTGAACTCCCACCTGGTCAACTGCGGTTCAAGTTCTAGACCTGGCAGGTTGAAACTCACACCAGATGCATGTGGCTGGTGTTCCCCAAATCCCAAGAGGAGAATAGAGAAGGGACTGTGGTGTGGCCATCTCCCCGGGGGGTGATTTCTCACTTTCTGTCTCTCTCTCTTCAGCGAGTGCACATACCCAATAACAAATCTTTCAGGGGGAAAAAAGTAACCTTTTCACTTTCTTAAGTATTGTTGAGTTATAGTATGGAATACATTTTTTCCCCCAGCTTACCTCTTAACAAACTTTGGCAAGTATCTTGGAATGTGGTTTTTGCAGTTTTTTATTCATCTATAATTACCTCGTCTGTGTACCAAGATATAAGAGCATAGCAAGAATCTAGTGTTAGCATAGGCTTTTATAAAATCTACATTTTAACAGTTCTATGAGAATCAGAGTTGAAATTGTCTCCAGACAGATTAAATTTCAGTCTGAAACTCCATCATAAAAAAGAGCTATGTCATAACTCCTTATTCAACTCCAGAGTAAACACCTGTCACAGCTGCCTCTTCCCATAGGAAGTGAGGAGGTAGGTGTCATTATTAATGCCAGAGTCATGGTTTTCTGTCACAAACCAGTAGTGACATTAAGCA